TATATATATATATATATATATATATATATATATATATATATATATATATATATATATATATATATATATATATATATATATATATATATATATATATATATATATATATATATATATATATATATATATATATATATATATATATATATATATATATATATATATATATATATATATATATATATATATATATATATATATATATATATATATATATATATATATATATATATATATATATATATATATATATATATATATATATATATATATATATATATATATATATATATATATATATATATATATATATATATATATATATATATATATATATATATATATATATATATATATATATATATATATATATATATATATATATGTATTCGCTAAAATTGCAACTGTGTTTAAACGCCATATACAAGTGATTTTTAAATAATACACGCCCTTTAATGCAGTTCTTTGCCCATCACCAAATAAATACAATTTGTAACTGTGGCTCACTGTTTCATCGTGTCTGAGTTGCTTTCTGTTTTTGTTTTTTGTTTTTTGCTGTTTTTATGCTGTTTTTATCCTGACATGTAACCCTGGTTATCTGAAGCAAAGATTGGGCTGAGAGAACCAGCTCATTTGCATTTAAAGGGATGAAATTATGGAAGTTTTCCGGGAGAAATACCAAGACGGTAGGGTGGCAGTCACCGGCGACTGCTATGTATCTGTACGCGTCGGCATTCCGTGAGTTTTACTTTTGAAATAATGGAGTATATTATGTACAGACATCACCGAGTCTCTGCCACCGCCCCCCTCCCCTACCTGTTTTACTACTCAAGACGGCAGCATTTCAGAAAAATTGTGTCAACTGTAACTCAGAATAAAGAAAATATAATTTATTCCATTCATATAATTTATTCCTTTTTCTGCAACAAATGTTTCATTATTTATTTATTTACAAAAGTGTGTTGTTTTCACATTAAGTTTGTCTGTGCTATCATTGTATTTTCATTTATCTATTCAGCATTAACATCTTCTTCTTTGGCCTTAGTCCTGTATGGTTGCAGGGTCGGCTCTTTGGAACAAGTCCTCCATTTAGACTTGTCCATATAACGACTTTTTTACACATTCCGGCCGGCTTGTCACCCTCATACACTACTGACAATTTAGCCTACCCAATTCACCTGCAGCATGTCTTTGCACCTGGAGGAAACTGCGAACGCAGGGATAACATGCAAACTCGAACCAGCGAACAAGCAACCTTCTTGCTGTGAGGCGACAGCACTACCTACTGCACCACTGCTTCGCCCCCTATTCAACATAAACATACTCTTTATAAATACCTGAAGAGTGTTTTAATTTGTCCTCATTGACATTATTTACAGTCTATGGTAAGCCGTTTCAGCATTTAAACATTTGTTCTGACTATCCATAAATATAGTACGGCAAAAGGTATTTAATGCTAAAGCGGCTTGCCATAACAGTCTGACAGACAGCATGCAAGAGAGGCATGATGTTTCCTGGTGACGTGAAGCCAATCTGCCAATCACAAATCATTAGGTTAGCTGACTAATCAGAGCCCTT